CGCTTTTGAAGCGAGGCGAGCCCTTGTCGCTTTTTTGCGCTTCTCGCTCTTAAAAACACTGCCAGAGACACTCTAAAGTTATGGTTAGGTAACACTTCACTAAACAACTTATGAAAAAATACAACACTGCATGCCACGACCAATGCACCTCCAAAGTCCAAACATCTTTCCCAGTGTGCCCCTAAGTAAGGCTCAGTGGAGAGAACTTCTTCACCTATGTGGTCTTGGGTAATGGATTGGTTGATTCAAGTCAACGGATAACTCCAACCTTCAGTTATTTTAGTGGCCATGGAAACAGGAATCTACTTTCAATTGACATTCAAATCCTAGTTCATAGGACAAATTAAGATTAAGCCTCCAAGGAACGCTTAGCAAATACAGACTAGGTTTAGAGCTTAAAATCTTCTTTTAATGATGGTATCCGGCCCAGCTTGCACGCTCGACTAATTCCACCAGGTACCTACTACCTCCCACCAACATATGTATTGGATAAATCTGCCTTGGTGCCAACCAAGGCTGGGGCAAATTTAGAAAATCACCTAGTATTTTTTGCCTCCTTCGATTTGAACTTGAGACCTCATGGTTCTCCCAAACTTCATTGACACTAGGTCACACCCTTGGGTGCAACTTAAACCTAATTTTTCAAAAGGTTAAGAGCTTAAAGACAAATACAACAGCATTTAGCAACTTAAAACAGATTGACTTTAGGGTTCAACGCACTTGCCTGTTGGCATCCTAATACAGGCATATTGAGCGTTGTTCTTCCAGAACTAGGCACCAGATTGACTACTATTTCAAAAGAATTCCTTTTCACATTCTGGTATATTAGGACCTTAAGTTTTTTTAGTTTCTGTTTTTCGATCAAGCAACGTAGAATTTGGAACCCTAGGTTCTGATGTACAGATGTCGACAACAGAGAAAACAAGCCAAATTACATTTTCCCCCAAAGCATAATGAATATCAGATTCACAAAATTTTGTCTATGAATCATAAAAGAATTGAGCTCATCCTTGGCAGCAATTGCAGGATTAAAGAAGCAGCCATGCCAAAATAAAAGGGAATTTTTTTGCTGATCAGGAAAATCAATAGGAAAAGATGCATAGTTTAAATCTATTGAAAAATAGAGATGGCAATGGGGTAGGGTGAGAGTGGGGAAGGGACACCTTAGGAGGGTGGACGAACTAGTAAAGGGCGGGGAGGGGAAAGACTTCAATATTTTCAGTTAGAGTGGAGGAAGGGGCAAGGCTTAATTTTGACTTTCAGTAACTCCATTTACTTCCTTTCAACACCCAGAAAACATTTCCTTTGACTATAAATTTCTCAAATGTCTTTCTTAGGAGTAGTATTTTTTATTTTCAAAATAAGTTCATTGTAGTACTAAATTTATTCTTAGAACAGGAGCAATCAATGTTTGATATCAAGCAGAAATTAACAAGAAGTTAGCTTTGTACTCATAACCTGATCAGTTATATTGGGACCAAGGAACTGTGAAAGAAGAAAAATGTTAAAAAAACAAGCTAACTGATTGCTATTTTACACGAAGATCATCAGAATTATACTAAAATACTTAATAATGAAAAACTTAAGTAGCAAGAACAACAATCCAGTATCCAAATTAACAAAAAAGAGAAACATAAAAAAGTGTAACAAGGGTCATACCTTTTCGATGATCAGAAGCATCATGGTACTCAGCTTCCTCCTCATCTTCTTCAGCAGCTGATGCAACAGAAACCACGGGCTCAGAAACTGCATTTGCACCACTATCCTTATCATCCGGGTACCTAACAACCACAACAGGACAAACACAGTGCCTCACACAATAATCACTAACACTTCCCAGTCTTCCATCGCTTCCTCTCTTAGTAGCCCCAAAACCTCGGCTACCCATAATTACAGCGCTAAGCCCTAGCCTCTCCACCTCGAGACATAGCCTTTCCCTCATATCGTGATCCTTAACGATGTGGATTTTGAACGGAATCTGAGCATCAACTAACGGCTGAGATATGTCCGAGACTTTAGTAGTAGTAAACGTGTCGAAATCATCCTCGAGTTTTCGCTGAGACTCTTCGTTTTCGGTATCGACGATGGAGAGATCAACGGAGCCCCAATCGGCGCCGTAGAGGACGGAAGTGGGACGGACGTGGAGAAGGATGACGGCGTCACCTGGACGGAGGTACTGATGGACGGCCCACTTAACGGCGAAAGCGGACTCGTCGCTTAGATCGACGGCGATGCCGATCTTGCGTTGAGCACCAGCGGTGGGGGTATCGGTGGTGGAAGGGGTGGTGGGAGGTGGGAAACGGGGGGAAGAGGATTTGATTTTGATGTTAGCGAGGCGGGGGAGATCGGAATCGGAGGTGGGGGTGGGGGTTGGTTGTTGCTGCATTTCTTTTTGGGGAAAGTTTGGGGGTTTGGGTTGACCTTTGTTTGAGAGAGGGTTGATGCTTGTTTATCGCTCCTGCTTAGGAGAGAGTTATATTCCTCTTTTTGATGTTGATGATGGGAACTGAGAATGTGTTCACTTTTCGACTTTCTCAGTGAATTAACTAGAAAAAACTCCTTTCATCAGCAGAAGGTGGACGTGCCGGAGTGGTTATCGGGCATGACTAGAAATCATGTGGGCTTTGCCCGCGCAGGTTCGAATCCTGCCGTCCACGTTATTTTGTACTCTTTTAACTTATGGAACAACGATAATGGATATTCCGTTAGTAGTAGGGTCAATGGATTGAGACTTGACGCGTTTGGGTTGACAATTTTGTTATGAAATGTATATAATAATAAAGAAAGGGATACATGAGATTAGTTTTTTTAATAAAAATCGATACTTTTTAGATTTGGTTTTATTTTTAATCAAAAAATAATCGAAAAATTCGAACCAAACCAACTATAGAAAAGCTATTTAAATTTATTCATACACCTATATATATGTATATTTTAATATAACGTTTCTAAGATTTTATGGTATCTATTAGTTGTTTGTATTTTTGGTCTAGTTCTTTGCTATTATAATAATCTAATTCTTTTCCTTTACATTCTAGTTTGATTGGTAGTTTTCTTTTGCTAAGTACAAGAATTTATTTCATGTTTAAAATAATTAATTTTTAATTGAGTAATTAAACTATTTATCACTATTTGATTCAATTATCATCAATATATCTTGGTAAATGATAGATTTCTCAAAGAGCAATCGGTTTGATGGTGTTACGTTGAAAATGTAGTCGGCGAAATATGTGTATGATAGTGTATGTTTCATATTCAAAAAAAATCCGATAAATAACCAAAAAAACCAAAAAACCGACAAAAATCATAAAAAATAGAATCCATAAAAATCCGACTTAATTGGTTTGGTTTGGTCCCAATATTTGAAAAACCGATTTACTTGATTTGATTTCTTTTTAGGGAAAAACTGATCCAAACCGAACCATGAATACCCAGCATAAAAGATTTGGATGGAGGTTATAATTCTATGCATAGTCAAACTAATGATGAACCTTAGGTTCTAAGTGTTTGAGATGGTCAAATAGAAACAACAAGTCAATAATGCTTTCTAGAATCAATATTTTTCTTTACATTATTGTTCTAGATATTGTTTGAATGATTATTTGGGTTTTGTAGGCTAAATCCAAAATATCGTGGTACAGTACAATAATTCACAAATTTTTGTAGAACCTGGAGAAAATAGAGAAAATCCTAAAAGAAGTCTGATACTTTTATTCGATAGCATATACATTCCCTGGCCCCCTCTAGAAATGTTTGGCATGAATACTTTGGGTTGTTAGTTATCCAGTTTTACTCTTCTAGAGTACAATTTAAAATCCTATACGCTAACTTTCTGAGACAGAAAAATCAAAATATATACCCACTTGTTTCTCAAACAAATACTGTAAATAACTCATATGTATATTTTCTTTAACAATCGCGTAAATCTGCTAATTAAGTTAAAATGAATGAAATACAGTTGCATAATTCAATCACTAAAATCCTATTCACTTGCTTATAAAGCATTTCCAGAATATTATGCTTATCATGGCTTCGTTTCTTTCTTTTTTTCTTTTCTCACTGTTGCCTTTTGAAGTAAACCATTCTATTGCAACCAAAGCACAATGAATTTGGTCAATGCACGAAAGGAAGGAATGAAGTTAATTAAGGTGTACTATGTTTAGACAGAAAGACCTTAAATGTTAAGGAAAATGCAATTTTTGTGAAATTAGACTAACGGAAAAAATATGATGAATATTAGTTCAAACGGGTAATTGAAGTACATATAAAGTCATTTGAAAAATATAACAGTAGTACTTTACTCATGTTTTGATACGACGAGGTTCGTAAACAACAACAACAACAACAACGACATACCCAATGTATTTTCATATTGCGTGATTTGGAGAGGGTAAAAGTGTATGCAGATCTAACCCCCTACCTTTGTGGATGTAGAGTGACTGTTTTCGAAAGGTCATCAGCTCAAGAAACTTCTGTGGTTAAATACAGCCCAATCACGGATTAATTACACATAAAATTTTATGAGCATCCAATAAAATATGAGTTAACTTGTATACCTAATATAAAGAAAACTCACATTATTCACGTATTTTAATTACCGGTTGTAACTCATAATTCAAACTATTTTTTAGGACACTATCTAGTTTTACTTATAATAGACCGTTGAATGTAGTTATGTGTTAATTATTTTTTGGGTGTTACATAATTTTTCAACATCAAATACTATATAAAAGTTAAACTGATCATACAAAAATAACATACTGAAAATGCTTTAGCAGCTCTTAAGTTTTACTGAGAGTGTCACTGCTCCATATTAACACCCATTACACTAGGGTACTACTACTGGGCGCTGGGGCAAGAGCTGTGAGTTGCAGGAAAATAACCAGCCAAAAAAAGCAGCAGCTACAGATTACAGTAGATGAGCCAGCAGTGCAGTGCTGGTGGATTCAACAAGAAGAGCTGATACACACTACTTTCATGGATTTACATGTATACGGTCTACTGACTACCTATTATTGCTCTTTGGCCTTCCTTTTTTGTTACTCACTTTTTACACTGCCATAAAGCACTTCTTCTTTTGGTTTGGTTAATTATATTTGCTTGACTCTCACAAACAGATACTTCTCAAATGTATTCCTTGTGGTTTAGTGGCCACCCCTTTTAAGGAAATTTTCCTTAGGGAAAAGTTAACCTACCCGCGGATCCAGAATTTTAATTCTATTACGCTTCTTAGTATTGAAACTATTACTATATTTTTAAAGTTATGGGTTCAGACCCAATATGTGTTGTAATTTTAGTGAATTTTTACACTTTTCCGTTTCTAGTGTTTTAGTCACCTTTCAATGGCTCCCTTAATTATTTGCAAGGAATTGCCCTATTGAGTAATGGGAAGCGGGCTAGTCCCCGAAAATGCCCCGCCCGTAAGTTCCTTTGTCGTTTGGAAAAAAAATCTCTTTTTATTTTTAGATTCGAAATTCTTTATTTTTTTCTCCCAATTTCCCACTCTTTCTGTGAGGCAAAACCTCACCACACTACACNCAAAAAGCTGCTAGGGTTTTGGTAGATTATGCTGGCACTGGGAGCTTTCACTGAAAAACACTCAGTTAAGTTTAATTTCTACTCCCTTTATTAATTTGTAAAATAGCCTAGGCTGTTGCCTTGAAACTTTAGGCTTACAGGCGCAACAGATCAAGTTGGACAAAAGGAAATAGGAAGAAAAAACCGAAGGGGTTTCCATATTGGATATAGACCCTTGATTCCTGGAGCTAAAATGTATAGTTACAGGATTTAATTAACAAAGCTAATAGTTTCACAATAAAAGGAATCAAAGAAATGAGATAATTTAATAGTTATGAAAACAGTCAAAACATTTGATGTTTACCACGTAAAAACTGAAGTTGCAAAGGTAATTGATCTATAGCAATCTTAATTAAGTCTATTCTTGATATATCAGATATGTATTCATATATAAGAAACTCATTTCTGAAATATTTTTTCCTCCATAAGAGACTGATTCAAGTATAATTTCATAGATTTCTAATTACCTAAATATAAGAGCAAGTTTAAAGCCAGTCGTATGGATACTAACTATATACGCATTATTATAACAATAAAAATCATGAGTTCCAAATGGGAAGCAAAATATTACAGTACTAAATACGATCAGAAAAGCTGAGAAATTTACTGAAGCATCTCCATCTCACTGACACAATCCCAAGAGTATAGAGAAAGAGAGATAACAAAAAACCCAGAAAATGTATTGCTCCATTTTGGAGAGGTAATAGCAGGTAGCTAGCTAAATAAACCAAAAGGGTAAATATAAAGTAGTGTTTGGGTCTTTGATCAGATAAATTTCACACAAGTGTGAAAAGACAAAAATCAGAAACCATATAGAAAAAAGACAAACTAAACAACTCTTTTTTTAATATAATCTGTAAAAAAACCTAGAAAGAAAGTTTGAGTGATAGATCAATAGAACTGGTGGGTGTAGTTGTAGTAGTAGTATCAACCCAGGATATTGTAGTGACACAAGAAGCTTCACCATTACCCACTGCTGCTGCAACTGAAGAAGATTCTGATGAAGTAGTCATCATTTTCTTCATCATCATATCATTCTCCACATAACTTGTAGTGTTTGATCTGCCACTTTTCTCTGTAGGAAAGAATTCATACTCCATTACAAGTCCTCCTTCTGATGATAATGTTGAATTTCCCCTTCTGTGGATTGCCACTATCTCTACCCCCTACAAATTAATTATTATAAAAACAAAAGAAAACACATCCTGGAAACATATACAATTTCCATTAAAATGGAGGAGGAATAATAAAAACGTTGAAGAAGAACTGCTACATTTTATTTTATCTTTGAGTAAGAGGGAAAAATATTAGGGTAGCATTTTTGTTTCTTTACCTTTTCAAGATGACTAGGTATTGAGAATGGGTGAAGCAAAGGCTTTGTTCCAAAATATTGGTTTTCTCCTAACACGTTTTCCATATGAACAATGCCAGCCTCTGTGTTAGAACGTCCCATATCCTCTCCATTAATCATGCGCTTCTTCTGACGATTAAGGAGGAAAAGAAAACATAAATAAACTAAATCAAACTTTAAATGAACAAAAAAATCAAAGGGCATTATACTTTGTTGCATGAACTGCAGCGATCGGAGAAACATGATGACTTGATGCTCATCAAATTTGGCAGTGAAGAAAGCTCTTTAGATTTCTCAGTATGGGAAACAGCATGAAAAAGCTGGTTGGGTTTAGAAGTTGCAAATCCGTTTAGACCCATTTGAGTTTGAAACTGATCATGCCCAGAAATCAACTGATCTCCAAATGTAACATGAGCTGGTCCATAAGTGCTAGATCCACTATTTGCAACCCTTTGATGAAGCAAGAAATCAGGGGCCATGACTTGGTTGACACCACCATACAATTTGGGAAACTGAAGTGGATTTGTTTTTGAAGAAATTAGCTCTTGTAATCTGAGCCGTTCAAGTTTTTCCACACCCATGCCTCTTTGGGACTGTTTCTTC